CATGTTGCATCCCATGTTTATATAGTAGCCGTGAACAGACAAACTACAGGTTGAACATTGACGCAGCGGCTTCAACAAACGAAGAAGAACCACATCCCTAAAAACACAAGTTGGATGGGGAGGTTATTATTAAGTTTGTTGGAAGTTAATAGAAATGAGGCGAAATGCAGGATCATATTTATAAATTAACAACAGAAAAAACAATGGAGGGTATACAAATGTTGTCAAAGATTTTAATACGGCATAAGGCGAAATGGCATCAGGACTCTGGCATACTGAATATGACCTTCTGTGGTAATCAAGTATGACTCAGATTAAACCAATCACAAGGGTGTTGAGTTAGTTTATTTCGTTATTTTTTCCTTAAATCTTTGTGTTATGCCCTCAACAGAATGGGTGAAGTATTAAATAAAGTACCATTTATTGAATCCTGGTCATTGGAATCAACAAGATGACAAACCCACTCAGATTTAGTGTTGCAACATTTTTACAAATATGCATCATCCACATCAGAACCGGTGCAGACACAAGTCAGGAGTTGTATATATAAATTAGTTTTTTGCTTGTGGTATTTGAACCCAGTAAGCAATAGTCATAGTAGCACTGCCTTAACAGAACTACATACAAATGCAAAATATTATATTATTGATTAATGTAACTGTTTTCAACAGGACCATTATCCCATGCAGCTGGCAAAGTAGAATGATCCAGATGGGAGCCATGCATCCCTGAGAAGCACAGCTAAATCATGATGCCTCTCCGGCACAACAACCTGTGTGCATACATTTGTTTTTGTATGCAACATATATAAAGAAAATAATACAGCACATCTGTTGATTTACTTTTGATTATAGTACTTTCATTCCAAAGTAAATGCAGTCAAAAAAACATAAATAGTGGACAAATTACTGCATATATTAAAAAGTAAGTATTTTATTCAGATTAGCACAATATTATGTTTACTATCATGCATACTACGTGGGAATATAATAAGAAATTGTTAATACATACAAACCTGCATAGCTTCAGTCTGGTCCCTTTGCAGTGCTTCCACACTCTCCTCCTCCTCCCAGCAAAAGTATTAGTGTTATTATAGATGCAGCATGACAAAGGTCAGATGAAATTGCTTTAATGATCATTTATTGAGAATTATTTAGTAGAAAGTCCACCAACTGGCAGGAAGAACTTAAACATACTTCAGACATAATCTATTCAACCTAATGTTAAAAGACATTTGTTTTTGCCATTTATTTTTTTACTTTTTCTTTACTGACAGTTTATTGATAATTTTCAGACACCTTTTTTTTTTTTAAATGTGATGTTATCTTTCATTTCTTTTAAATGCTCATCAGAGATTTAGTGAACTGATGCTGAATCATTTAAGAAAGACCCACAATATATTAAGAATTACTTT